GGGCCCCCGCCATGCCCCCTGTCGGCCCCCCACCCCCGAGCGTAGGGCCGGCGGCGCCCCCGCCATCGCCGATACCAACCTGGCCTTCACGGAAGTCACTACAGTACCCACTGTGACATTTTCTCGGATGTGAATGGGGCCGTACGTGTTCACGTCCCATAGGGGCGGCTTATTGTTCCTGTCTACGACGTCTAATTCAACGTCCACGTCCGCGAAGGAAGGAGGCTCGCCTCGGTCGGAAGCGCGCACGCGCAGTCGATACCTGTCTCTCTAAACACGGGCACGGTGAGGTCAGGGCACGAAGGACAAACCAAACTGAACACACTCAATCAAACGAAATGCGAACCAAAAGAAGAAGACAACTCAATCACACAACTTAAATCAAGAGCTAACTCCACGATATGGATGGCTTTATACACATGGGCAGGTATACAAGCGTCGATTCTGCCGCTCCCGCTACAGCAAACAACATAATCGACGCTCTACGACACTCACGACTGCGTTTCGATCAAATTAGGACCAGAAACACCAAAATCCAAACTTTCCCCTCATCCGAAATAACAAACATACCTATAGAGCATAACCAATCCATATACTCAATGACAAAATTCTGTTTATTCCTAGCCTACGCATTTAGAATTTAAAACACTTTTGACCTAGCAATATAGAAAATCTATGACAATTGAAACAGAATTCCTTCCACAGACAACGTAACCCGCAAAAGGTCGATTTACACATTTACAAATTTTTGGTCTAATGAGTCCATACAAAGACAATTTTGAAACAAAAACTCAGTAAGCAAAGAATAAACAAAAATTCGCTTAATTAGATGCTTGGTTTTCTTGACGTTGCTATTTCATTGTCGCTGAGTATATTCAGGGTTATTATAAGTGTATGTGAAGTCCCTGAAACATGCCAAATAAACGTAGAAAACAAATGAAAAATGTAAAATAAGAAGCATAATTTGAATTTCTGGGCCTAAATCAGATGGAAACGCAGTCTGTGGAGAACCAGGGGAAAGCCGACGGTGAAAGCGAGTGTGGCACCCTCACCGCGACTCGAACTATCTACAGCGCCCTCTGTAGGCCCCCAGCATGTCCCCTTACTTACTGGATAGCATCCCTGCTTCCGGTCGGTGGTACCGGTGAACAACAGAAAATGTGCAATTAAATAACAACTAAAAAACGACAAAAAACAATAAAAAAGAACCAAACCGAAAAAATATAGAACGTAACGTTTCGACCAAAAAAATCCTCTTCTGTAAGCAGGCATGACATGCATGAAAAAAAAATGTTGAAAAAATTCATATGGTGGTCAGGGCGGGAGCAAGGATGTGCAAAAAGTCAGCTTTAGTCTCCTGTCTCTCGTAAACGACCTTCAAAAACCGTTGGACGTTTATGAAATAGTACGCCGCCCCATACACAGGTTTAAAAATGTCACAATGTTTGAGGGCCGCAAGAGGTCTCAGTGCCCACCCCGGGTTTCAAAAACCGGCCTCCTGCGACTCTCGTGACCAAAATACTACAAGAATGCGTTGGTACGCTCCTCCTGCAAAAAATCACTCAAAAATGTCACAAAATACAGGGTCAAAAATGCATCAAAAATGTGGTGGGAAAAATCAGCGTCGAAAAATCTGGTAGTAGCGCCTGGCGTCAAAAACAAAACAGCTCTCCTTGCTACTCCAAAATAAGGATAAAGCGGCGCCGACTCGAGAGGACTCGAGTCGACGTCCGGGCCAAAAACCACGAAGAAACGTTATGCAAGGTGTGCCGTATAAACAAACTCATTGAATAAAAGGTAGAGATCAGTGCAGTCGATCGTCAGATCGATCAGAGCAACTCAAAGTAAGGTGCGCTGAAAATGAAGAAAGAAGCAGCTATTTCCACTCGTACCTAGATGCTGGCCGACGAACGGACGCCCCCTGATGCTCTGAAACGGCACTCAAACACACGCGCATTCACACCTAGAAACCTAGACGGCTGAACCAGCGGGAGATACTTACGTCCAAGGCTTTCTTTAACACTATCCAGCCTGATTCAGGCTGGATTTCGAAATACTCCAAGTCGGCGGCGTTCGAACCGGCATTCAAGGAGTACACGATGGCGCCGTTGTTGTCGGCGTCTTCGTCCGAAGCAGAAACTCGCAGAATATTAGTTCCAATACTGGCGTCCTGCTTCACATTCTCCACGTATTTCTACAAAACAAAATACTTTCTATTTAGGACTAATTATAATAGATTTTTAACCGAAACCAACACAAATATAAAGAAATAATAGTAAAACAAAAGAAAAATAATTGTCAGTTGTTGGATAAATCAAGAAGTAAATTGAAATAAATTTAGAACTTAATTTACTGATATTCTTAAGTTTTGCAAATTTATTTACTTCTCTGACAGAAACTATACAATTGAGTATACCTAAAAATGACAAAAAATTATAGCTGCTGCTTTTTAAATAACACGTGCGCTTTTTATTTTAACTATGTATACAGACAATGAACAAAAAGAATAAAACTAAGCGGTTTTTGGTTAAACTATTTGCTTGCAGAAAAATAGCAAAAACTAAAACAAATTGAATTCTATTTAGATAGTTGTAATTATTAAAGTATAGTACATCAATTCATTAATTAGTTTTCTCAAAAAGTATAAAAAACACAGTTACATACTGTTTGGTCAGATCTACAACCAATAGTACAAGGAAAAACACATTTTCCGCATCGATTATGATGTAACAGTATCAAGAGAAGAGAAAAAAGTAATATTAAATTTAAATTTCATTCCAAGACTCAACGTAACTTGTAAATAAGTTACAGGAAGTTAACACTTCAAGAAAAGTTTCTCATTTCTCCAACAACTGATTTTCCTCGCCCCTCCCATACCTGTCTGTCAAACAAGGGCGGATTATCATTAACATCAGTAATTTCCACCGTAAACGAGCACACCCCCTCCAAGGAGGGCTCCCCCTGATCTGTAGCTTTCACCGTAACGGACACGAATTTCCCATCGTCGCCCTCCCGATCGAAAACCTTGTTCGTGGACACTTCCCCAGTCTCCTCATCCACAGTAAACTTCGTCCCTTTCTGATTCGGTTGTTGCACGATGGAATATTTGACCTGGCCGTTAACCCCCTTATCTTCATCAGTCGCGTGCACCTTAATAACCGGCGATCCATTCGGCGCCCCTTCCTCCACCTTGGGATAATAAGTCCCACAGTCTTTAAAAATGGGTTTATTGTCGTTAACATCCGTGATAAACACGACAACCACAGCCGTGGAAGTGTGAATGGTTTGGTCGCCGTTGACACAACAAGCCCCATCGTCCATCGCAGTGACGTTCAATTCGTATTTATCCCTGTCAAGGGAGATAGATTTGCTATGAAGCCGAATCACACCAGTGATTTCCTCGATAACAAACTGTCCAGAGCTTGTACCACCACCGACGAAACCGAATCTGACATTATCGCCATCTTTATCAGACGCCACTACGGTGGTGACAAGGGTGTTAGGACCCGCGTTTTCGTCCACGTTTGGAGTATAAACTTGTTGCGAAAATTTCGGTTCTTCGTCGTTTTTGTTCTTGGTGTAGACTCTGACAGTAGCAGTGCCCGTCTTTGCCGGCTCTCCCTTATCTTTCGCAGTAACAACAAACTCGTAGTAGGCGTTGTTGTTATCAGCATCTAGTTGTTTGTTATTGGAGATGATGCCACTAGGGTCTACACTAAAGTGGTCGTCGGAGACTAAGTATTCGATTTCAGCGTTGGCCCCACTGTCGGCGTCCATAGCCTTGACTTTAAGGATGCTCGTGCCTGGAGGGATATCCTCGTCGACGTTATGGGCCTGGTAGTCCGGAAGTTCGAACTTGGGGGCGTTGTCGTTGACGTCCGTTACACGAATTGTAAGCTAAAAAAATAAAGTATGCATTTCCAAGTTTCTTCATTATAAAAAGAATAACTCTATACAAACTTAATAAAACTTATTTTCAAATTAAAAAAAATATTTCTAAAATAGTATTATCTTCTTATATCTTCTTATATATGAAAACAAAAAACTCAAATAGAGCTATATTTTTACATTTTATAATACTAGTATTATCTACATTTTTTATCTACATTACCCACAGAAAAAACAAATTTTGATTTTATTAATCGATTTCTCTTTGAATCCTTTATCGGTAAAATGTCAAGAAAATAGAGAAAGGTTATCTTTTCTATTTTCCTTTATTTCTTTTATCAAATCAACAAACAAGTTGCACTTATTTTTAATGAAAAAGCCACTTTTGGTGTAAAAAACATTTCTACAGATAACTATTAAATAAATGGCATTTTATTAATTCAAATCACAGTCCATTTTTGTTGTTAAAAAAAAGGCAAATCAACAACTAATTTTTATTTTGTACTCAATGTTAAAGAGTGCTTTTATCAACTAATTTCAGTAGATAAAGTACTCTTTTATCGTCTTGTGAAATAAAGTAATTTTTATCTACTGTTTATATTCAAGAAATTCTGATAGGTGAGTACAAAATAAAACGAAATATTACACACGGCGATAAAGATTGTTTATCTACTCGTGAAAAAAGTCCACTCGTGACTTTGTTACTCGTAAACTTAACCTTTTAACTCGTAGATAAACAATTTCTTTATCGTTTTGTATAATAAATACCTATTATTGGACATTATAAAATAAAAAACAAAAGTGCAATTCATATTTTTTCCGAAAATTCATAAAGAGCGGTCATTCTGAACGTTAAATAACGATAAAATTATTATACCTCAACAGAGGTGGAGAAACCTCCCGAGTCCTCCGTGGCCGTCACTACCAGCGAATACACATGCGGCTGCCTCAAATCCTCAAAATCCAACTCTTTTGCCAACTTAACAATCCCACTCGTTGGCCCTATATTAAAAGTGCCAGCCCCTTGTCCTTGCGCCTTCAACGTATACCTGATCTCCCTATCGGCAAACGACTTGGCCTTTACAGAAATAATACTGAAACAAACCCTCAAAAATAAAAACTCTCCAATTCACCCCCGACTCACTCTGAATCCTTCTTTTGGTTTTCGGGGATTTCCGCCTCGTAACTCGGCATGTAAAACTGCGGCGCTCTCTTGCCCCCGACAATTGAGAGTCGCTCTTCCGGCGTGGACTGGAACCTCCTCTCGTCGACCCTCCCATTCTGGTCCTCGGCTTTCACGTAGAGAACGTACTCCATATCAAGCTGGAAGACGTCTGTGCCTCTGGTTCGAACTACACCGGATCTTTCGTCCACTTCAAATCGGCCTCCAGTGCGGTCCCGGACAATGAAATAATGGATATTGTGGTCGGTATCCGGGTCGCGGGCTTGTAGGGTGAACACGGGCGTGTTGGGAGGAGCGTTCAGCTGAACCACGGCTTGCATGGGCAAAGGGCGGTTGATGAAGTAGGGAGGCTCGTCGTTAACGTCCCTTACGTGTATAATCACGCGCTGGTTGTCGGTGTCTGCAAAAAAATAATTTCCGGTTAGGAGCAGGACAAATCGTCTTTTCATTGCAATTCAAGTACTTACATAAAAGTCCGGCTGTTGAAAAGTAGCATGAAACAGAAAAATAAGAGTAAGAGAAAGTCTTTGAAACACTACAAGACAAGCTTTTAAGTACAACAACTGATTCCCATGAGTGAATTAGCCATGGCATTGAACTTTTTCGCTTTTTTTGAATTTTTTTATCACACTAGTTTTCTTGTACCCCTTTTTAAGGTTGTCAACTTAACTTTATGAATGTCCATTTGATGTAATGTTGTGACCGCCGGGAAATGGAGTGGAAAAAAAGGATTGAAACGTTCTCTGTCTAATGTCATGTAAATGTATTCAGGCGAGATTCCACGACTCCCACACTGGCCTGAAATGGGTCTCGCGCCCATTGTTGGTATATCAACGAGCGTATCCGCATATGCATTATGTCATAATATGTACCGACGAGATTAATATCTCTATCAATTACGTTATTACTTGGCACTAATTCATTTGTATTAGAAGCGTAAAGCCGGAGGCGGAATGACTCTCCGATGACCATTACTAACCATAAAAAACTCGACGCGGTGAGCACATGGATAAATTTCAATATTTCAAAGCTGCTAATTAAAAGTATCGAACCGAATCATAATTAAAATTAAGTTTTCGGTTGCGTATTTGATCAATTTTGTGGTTTGCATTGTTAGATAGAGTGGCAGAGAATATTTAGGCTTTGTTCAACAGCAAACACTAAACAGAAGTGGAGCTTTTGTTGTCAGTCTAAGATTTGAATTATTTGTTTTAGACACTCAAACGATAGAGCTTAGGCGGGAAATTGGTTGAGGAAGACGCACTTCAGACACACAACAAATTTATTGTTATAAATTAAGAAATAGCGAACCTGGATCTTCTTTGAGACTTTGTATTATTTTATTTTATTTTACAAGGTGAATCCACAGGAATAATGAGTCTGACCAAATTCTCGATGCAACCACCATTACTTTTCGCAAGTTGCTTTGCGACAAATGTAATGTTGGTTGCATCGAGAATTTGGTCAGGGTCATTATTCCTCGTGAACCACCCTGTAAATATTTTATTTTATTTTATTGAACTCAGTTTAATTTTTCTTGAGATGTAAAAAACATGTAAAAAACCATAGGTATAAATCAAGAAAACATTAATTTAAAAGTCAATATTGTAGTTTACATGCAAAAATCTGAAACGTTTGGGAACAGACCAAAATCATACGCCTATACTAGCCTTTAGATTTTGTTCATTGTCAAACACAAAACCGAAGTGTTGTTGTGAATTATTAGTTTTAGACACTCAAACGATAAAGTTTAGCCAAAAAATTGGTCGAGAAATAAGGAGCAAACGCAATTTTATAGTCCAGTCAATAGTTTTCCAGATATTCGCTACCTACAATTTTGGTTCCACTTTGTTTCATAGTACCTAAATCCTAAGTTTACCGCAAATGTGAGCGGAAAGAAAAGTGTCAGAAATTAAGTTTGAATATGATATTTGGTTTTGTATCTGTAATTAAAACAAGTTATAGCGATTAAAAATTTMGGGAAAAATTTAATATTTTGAAATAGAACCGTCTAATGCATTTTCTCTTTATATGTAGGAAGTAAACTGGTAAACCAGTCGATGATTGTTGAAGATCATAAATTGTAGTGTAAGACTCTGCAGCTTGTAGAAAACAGTCTTTTTGCAAGAAAGTTGAGGTTATGTTTCACTTCTTGCAAAAACTTTTCACTTCAATATTCTTGTCGGCAATTCATGCTGTGTTTATAAACACAGAGGATGAGTAAAACACTATTCCTATTTCTATTAGGGTTTTATTTCCCAATCCGAAAAAACGAAACATAGGTAAGGGAGAGTGCACACATACCATTTTCAATAAAAACTAGAATTGTTTTCATGATTTAATGCAAATTCGAATTAACCAAATTGGCAAGAGTTTGAATGAATCGAAAAATCAAAAGTGATTGGCTTCTCAGATTATTATGATGGCCGACCTTAAACTACCCAATCACAACCCATTTTAAACCTTTGAATGAATCCAAAAAATCTAAGGTAATTGGTTTCTGATATTATTTTAATGGCCGGCCTCAAACGGTCCAATCACAATGCTTAAAACTTTTACAACAATCCTTACGTTAATTCATTACAAGTTTTTTTAGCCTAATTAACAAATAGAGAGCAATATTTGCGAGCGAATATCTAGAAAACGATTTGAGATAAAAAGAAAACGAAAACACTGTCTTGTAGGAAATTTTATTTTAATTTTCTACATTTAATTTCATAATGCTGGGATATAAGTAGGTAAGATAAAAAGCATTAAACGACACCTTGTTGGTGTCCCCTTGCGCTCCGCTCACCTCAAAGAACCGAAAACTCTTTCTTGTTTACCTATCTATTAACTAGCCCAAATACAACGCAAAACTCTAAAATTATTAGTAAGTGTCGACACGACCCTCAGGCAACGCCGCTGAGGCAAAAAACAGCCTCATTTGAAGCTTTACCGCTTTAAACCTCTCTGGTCACTTAAACCGCGCCACTATGAGGGTTCGATGCATTAATCCTTCCGATGACCATTTAACGAGGTCTTTTAAATTAGTGGCTGGCAGGCCATATAATAATTACAAGTGGCGTCGTTGTCGCAGCTGGATGACTCAAACTCATAATCAGATTAGTGCACCCTCTCCTGACCTGGCAGAAACGTCATTTCATGACCCCCGGATGTGTCCAAACTTAATCGAGGGACGATATTGGGGTTCCTTCCTTCCTTTTCGACCAAAACAAACAGTCTTGAACCGTCGCCAGCGATCGATCCGAGACCATTTTATTCGCATATGTTGCGAAAAAATCAGGGAGGGGCTGCACTGTTTGCTTTATTAAAGGAGGAATTTGCATTTGGAGCTGTTTGCGCTCCGGATGGAGGCTCGGTGTTTATCGCACGAGTGTTAAATTTGGAGGTGGTTGTGGTGGATTCGGGTCAAGGGAGAAAATCAACGTTGAAGCAAGTTTACCATAATTTGAATTAATTATATCGCGTACAATAACTCCCACGACTTTGGATTCGTGAAGAACGACTTGTACGGTTGTGTTTACAGGTCTCGTGTCAAAGGTCGCTGCAAGAATCGATAATTATCGGATTTCAGCAGGAAATATGGCGGCACGTACAGTCGACATATTTGTCTAAAATTACTAAAAGAAACTGGAATCTCTCTTGATGAAACATAGTTGAATGTTATGTAAAAAATATTATTAAATTTATATAAAAAAAAACTTGGGTAGTTTTTAAGTTTAAAAAAAAATGAGAGGTTGTGTGCGAATAATTAAGAAAGAAAAGCGAAATGGGTATAAGTGGTCGTAATAATTGCATGAGGTGGTACAAGCGCCGGACACAATGCACGTCACCGTCGACAAATGCACTGTAATTACTAATTAGTAACAAACGAGATTCTGCTGTTACTACAGACATCGATTTTACGCCACAACAGTGAATGTTTTCACACACCATTGAATACATAAATTCGAAGGGCGTTGACGCGCCTCTCTCCCCAGAACTCGTCTTAATTCGTCGTTAAAATCATCGAGCTAATTAAAACGACACGAAAAATATTCACTTCGTATTTAGAACGCATGGGAAGTGACGGCTGAATGCTCGTTTGGGTCCTTTGTGAGACCTGCATCGAACGAATAGACCATAACAACGCTGAATAATTGCAAACGAACTGTTGCAGCACATTTATTGAATTTTGATTGAGTCGAGGGAATGGGACAGGTTAGAGTTCATTTTAATTTTACAAGCTGTCAATTGATACCCAACTAACAAGAGAGATAATTATAGGAAAGGTCAGGAGAAATCGATTTTTCCCACAGATGTAATATTTTTAAATCAAAAAATGCTTTTTAGCGTCATTTGCACCCCCATGTTATTAGAAACGAGGGGTGTCAAAAGAATGGAAAAGGCGGATTTGAATGAAGCTTTCACGAAAGCTTCCCCTAAGTTGGAGTTTTTAAAACGATTTTTGTTTAAAGAAACGCTTTTCTAAAGCTCCTCAGAAAATCTGATACGAGGGACCAATTCAAAATAAAGCTTGAAACTGTTAAAAAAATCCAGCGAAAATTGAGGAATATTATGGTCATCTTCCAAAGACTAGATCTCCATGTAAGGCAAAAACAAAGATTTTTGTTATTTTTATAGTAGTTCTTTAGGACAAATAAAGTAGGTACTTGAATAAAAAAAATTAAAAAAAGCAAAATCATCAGAAATGTAAAGTGAAAAATTTGTTTTTTATTTTTTAAAACAATGTCAATATCAAAAACAAAAATCTATCCACCATTTACAAAAAAATATCTACTGTGGTTTTTTAGCCTTTCTAGTAGACAGGTTTGACTTAATCTAAATTTATTTGAATAAATTTAAAAAACGATTTGTTGTAATTTGAATCACCCTTTGTTCACTCACAATCTCTGATCTAATTTCGATTCCTTTATTTATCATCTTCTTACATTTAAAGTACTCTAACCATGGAGTAATTATTTTGAACTTCGTTCTAACTTGGCTCTAATTTTTCCTAATTCGATATCAAATTAACCAAATTCTTCTCCATTACCGCAAATTAGATTTGTTTTGACTTTGATTTGTCCTAATTTGTTCCGGCTTGATTTATTTTCCGATTCAAATGACTCCATTTGCCGCTTCCTTTGATGCTTTTACCCATTATTTACAGAAGAAAAAAATAAGCCCGACTTAGCATAACATCTTGTCACTCCTTGGCCACTTTTAGCCCTGTCACGGCACGCGTCATAAATTCCGTCCAGGCCCGGACTTTTGATGTTAAAAGCTTCTCGTCCCGGAATCCGCATTCTGTGCAAGTCTTCGTCCGACAAAGCAGATTCGCATGTCTCCTCTTTTTGCCACGAGATGACGAAACGACGGAAATAATCTTTTCCTCGGATCTGACCTACGATTTCGTGCCGCGTTGGTCTCGGAATTCGTAATATTTATGAAACTACTAAATCGTCTTTATGAACGCTCTTAAACGATCCACCAG